TTCCCTAACAGCACAAGCACCAGGTGGCGCTGGAGTACCACTCAGAGGATGTGACTAACAACCCAGACCACACTGATGGAGGCTTTACCACATGCAGGGCAGCCAGGGTGCTAAGCCTTGCACTTGTATCTCATTCAGTCCAATGAGATAGGTACGATGATCGTTCCTATTTTAGAGGTCAGGAAACGGAAGCACCAGAAGTGAAACGCCTTGCCCAGTCATACAGCCAAGACCTGTAGAACAGTATTGGCCCTCAGGGTGTCTGGTTCCAGAGCCTGTGTTCCTAGGCACAATCTGTATTGTTCCAGCCACTGATGCTCACTCACAAGCTCTCCACTTAGGCTGCCAAGTAAACATCTTAGACCCCAAATGTGCTGAAGAGTCTTGGATACAGACTATAGCGTTCAGTCAATCCTCTCCTCCCTCAAGACACCAACTCTGACTTCTCATGCCTCTGCCTATAACTGTTCCATCAATATTCTACTGCACTGCACACTGATTGGCATGTTCTGGTAGAACTGTTCTTTATATTTTCAAATGGGTATGTCTTGAGCCATTCTAACTAACTAGGCATCCTGCCAGAATCTAATGCAGTACAGTTCTAGGCCCATTGCAGAAGCCCGAACTTTCTGAATTACTGATGAACACTGGGATACTTTGTGAGCACTGAGGGTATGCCCCCATATCTTCCACCTTGGCTGTAAATACTTGGGACCCTCAAGACTTTCACATCGCTATTTCACACCACATCACAGGCAGACTCCAGCTACTCCCTGCAACTACCAAATGGGCTGAGCTACCCCACAGAAACAGAAACTGGGGGTCCTCTAATGATAATGTCAGCTCAAGTTAGCAAATATAAAGAGAACCCCAGCTTCATGTCAGATACAGCTAAGAGTTGTAAGCTGTACAGAGAGGAAGAAGTCATGCTTTCTACTCTCAAGGAGATATAGAAAAGATGACAAAAACATGCAAAATAAAGACAACAAATATATTAAGTTTCTGGGAGTCAGGAGACCAAAGTCGAAGTCTCTTATGCCACCCATTGAGTGTGTTATGTCCAGAATCCTTTTTTATTTTTATTTTTTTAATTTTTATTTTGAGAGACAGAGTACAAGTAGGAGAGGGGCAGAGAGAGAGGCAGACAGAATCCGAAGGAGGCTCCAGGCTCCGAGCTGTCAGCACAGAACCTGATGTGGGGCTTGAACCCATGAACTGTGAGATTATGACCTGAGCTGAAGATGGATGTTCCACCGACTGAGCCACCCAGGTGCCCCTGTGCAGAAGCCTTTTGAAGCACCAGCTCCACCACCTGCTAGGTACTGATGATTAACTGGGTATAACGTAAACACCGGGGACCCATCACAAGATTTGGTAGCCCTTGTTTTTCCGCACTCTTCTTTGTACAACTGTCCCAGTATCACTGACATGGAGAGTGAAGGCCTGAGTGAGACAATGGGTCAATGAAATTATGCTCCAGAAGTGATAGTCACGTATCCTGAAAACAACAATGGAATTACCATCCTAGGGGATTTAGTTCTCATGGAAGATCCGAGCCCATCACATCCACCTCCTAACATTCTACTTACTCTTGCTCAGTGCCAACAATGTGATTGTACAATAGACATGATAGCATCTCAATTCCAGAAATACTCTCATTTTTAAGACCATGGTGTAGAATGGCCATAGGTGTAGTTTTACTATACTTTTTTTTTTTTCTAGATTTAGTGTTGATGTCAAGGTGGCCACAGAAAAGTCTGGGGACGGCAGTTCCCAGAAAGTCCAAGTTTGAATGCCACCTTCGTGTTGGGGAGGCCTTTTGCCTCTCCCTCTCGCAGCCCCTCTGTTCCTCTCTATGGCCCATCCCAGTACCACAGCCATGAAACAGCAGGAGGACGGAGAGCTCACCAAGGACACTGCACAACCCGCAGCCTGGGTTGCCTCTGTGAGTCACTCAAAGTTCACTGAAATAGTAACACCCTGTCTGCATGCCTCTGGAGGCTGGCACCTCACTCTGTCTCAATCACAGATGGACTCTGTGCTCTCCTGTGCTCAGGGATGATATATTTATCTGGACAGTTCCAGATGGCAGGAGTAGGCAACTGATTCATTTGCTTCTCCTTTCCCAGCAGGCCCCACAAGGGTTTCAGAGCTGGGGCCAGCATATAAGTGTCCGTCTCTCTTGAGGCTGAGGTGTCTGTCGCCTCTGATGACTCAATCACTGCTCCAGCCTGGGGTGGTCGAGTAGGGCTGCCTTCGACAAAGCTAGGGTAGCTCGAGAATTGGAAACACTCCTGAAGGTCTGCCTACTCCCAGGCCTGGTTGCATAGTGAACCCCTTCCCAGAGAGTGTCCCAGCCAGTGACAGGATGTCCTGCTCACCCTCCATCCCCTCTCTGTCTTGGGGCACCTGGCACTGGGGACCCTCCCACAGCAGCTGAGAAGGGGTTCAATACTCCAAAGACATGTCCAATTGGCTCTCAGTGTTTCATGTAAATTTTGATACACTTTTAGATTACAACTGGCCAGTACCACAGAGAGTATAGAAGGAGTGTGAAATGTTATTTTATATGTATAAGCTTGAAGTTATGTGCTGGCCACAGACACTGATAGCATGAGTGCCCCCACCTTTGCCTCTCACAGCAGGGAGATGTGAAGCCCCAGCTTCAGTCTCAAGCTCCCAACCAGCTCTCCATCCCCCATAATATCCACACTAGAGCAAAGCCCCCTGGGGTCCCCAAGGAGACAGACAGAGAAAGCATGAGAGGAAACAAATGGGTCATTTCATTCAAAAGGGCATTTGTGGCAAGACTGTTCTTTCATCATCAAAACATAACTATTTATTGTTTGTGGTGAAAGAAAAAGCTATGACTGGTATAATAATGCAAAAAGGCAGAATAAGCCATAAATAACCCCTTATCATGAATAGCCCATGTTTTAAATCTGGTTTGCCAAAGAATACCACCATCACACCCCAACTTCAGCAGACCACCTGTGTCCCTGATTGAGAAGTGAGCTCACTGTGTGTGGTCCAACCCTGAGAGTGCTCAAATAACCTCCAGGCCCTGGAGCCATCTAGAAAGCTCCTGAGTGAGGGTCAAGTTCTCTGCCATCTACACACAAGGAACCACGCTGTGACGGAATCTCCTGCCCCACACCAAAGAGTGAGAAGGCCCATCTGCAAAGTTGTTTAGGCAAGAAGCATGCAACTAGTAAGTCCATATGGTGAAAGGGGTGGGGGCAGCTGGGGCTGATTTGCCCTCTTCCCTCCGTAAATCAGGTGTCCCCAGGCCTGGTCACCTGGGTCAGGGACTTGGGCCACCTGCCTGCCTGAGGTGGATGCCTCGTGCTGGAAGTGGCCTGTTTGTTACCTGTTGCACGTCTTGCTGGAATACACAGAGCTGCAGCCGCTGGTGGAGCCGCACCTTGCGGTGCTGCCAGATGCTCTCGAGCCGCCGCTGGTGGTGCAGCACCTCGTGCACCACGTCCAGCACCTGGTGCACCGCCTTGGAGTAGTTGGCAGTGGCCGTGAGGGACTCAGAGTTCCCAGGACTCAGGGGACGCTGCAGCACATCCAGCAGTGCTTTGCCATCTTGGCTGACCTGCAAGAAGGAAAGGTTAGACCAAGGGAGCCAAGGAGCAGGCATGGACAGAGAGGTGAGGAGAGTCTGCCCCTGGGATCCCTGGTTAGGACTGAGAATCCCAGCCCTACCCAGACCCCATGACACCCTAGGAATGTGCCAGCCAGAGCTGTCCTGGTGCTCAGCCTGTGGTCTGGGGGACAGCACAGTATCCTGAATCCTGAGGGAGGAGAGGTACTCAATCAGTGTCTCTCTCAGCCTTGAGTTTTAGCTTCACAAGGGCAGGGACTCTGCCTCATTCATCTCTCTCCAGCACTTAGAACAGTACCTGGTCCATCATACCTGATAGATATTTTGACTGACTCTTTGGCTATGTCGAGCAGCAGAGTTTCATTTCAGAAATGAAGCTGAATATAAATTGACACCATAAACCTCTCCCCCTCTTTTTTCTTCACTGCTTCTACCTAGCTCTAAACTTCTAGATGTGTGACCAGAGGCAAGTTACTTAACCTCTTTGGGCCTCAGTTTCCTTGTCTGTAAAACAGGGACAGTAACGGGGCAACCTCCCACAGTAGTGGTGAGGATCGAGTGAGTTAACATGTGCGAAGTGCTTAGAATGGGGGCCAGCAGGTACTACTGGTTCCTAATTCTATTTCCACCACCATCATCATTTCTCTCTCTCGTCTTCCTTACTTCCTCTTCATTTTCTTTCTTTTTTTAATATTTATCCTTCTTTTGCTCTCTTTCTGTACAACTTCCTTTTTTTTTCCCTCCTGAGCATGGTAACACCCCCATCTTTCCAAAACATGTAGAGTAAGGGAGGGACCTTTATTTATTTATTTTTTAATTTTTAATGTTTAATTACTTTTAAGAGAGAGAGAGACAGAGTGCGAGGGGGGAAAGGCAGAGAGAAAGACATAGAATCTGAAGCAGGCTCCAGGCTCTGAACTGTCAGCACAGAGCCCAATGCGGGGTTCAAACCCACATAACATGAGATCATGACCTGAAATGAAGTTGGATGCTTAACCGACTGAGCCACCCAGGCACCCCAGGGAGGGACCTTTAGCTTGTAGACACAATATCTATGTTCTTATGTTCCCCAACATTCGCCCTCAGCGCTGAGACCAGCGGGGGTGACACTCCCTGTCATTCCTATTGGAATCTTGGTACAATTGCAGGCACCAGTATTTCTGGAAAGTGGCATCATCTGATTGACACCTGTGGCTCTCCAAAGCTGGCAGAGGACCCAGTAGAGCATGTATCTTCTCAATTTAAAACAGTGGTAACTAGGGAATTCAGGGATTTTAAGGCCCTAAATTAATTTGGTTAAAGATTAAATCAAAGTTGGTTTGGAGTTGAATTCTCTTCTTTTTCTTCCATCAAGGTGGGGAAGGAAGCATGTTCCCACCTCCAGCCTTACGATGGTGAATGAGGTGCTGTTGCTGGGCCCAGGCCTCCCCTTATTCCACCTTTGTGTCCTAAAAATAGCTTATTAGGGTTCAGGAACACAAAGGCAGCTGTTACTCACCCTGTTCATGGGGCAACAGAAACAGTGTGGGGCCCAGGGGGTTGGTGGTTCAGAGGAATACTGGGTGGAGAATCTGTGGCTGAGACAGGAGAGGAAGCCTGGCTGGAGGAATACAGCCAATCTAGGTGACTACCTCTACCTACCCCATCCCACTATTCCTGCCTCCAATGCATTGCCAGGGGTAACACTCTCCAGAGATGTGAATAAGACAAATATCCTGTGGCCAAACCCAGGAGAGCTCTCTTCAGGGAACTCTGAGCAGATGCTGTCTTTGGCACTGTGCTATGTCAAGGGCAGGGTGGTTAGAGTTGGAGGGCCAAGTCCTAACATCCAAGTCAACAGAGCTCCAGTCCTCTGCCTCCGTCCACATCTGCAGGAGGCAGGGACGGCCCACTGAACTCTGAGGTGGGTTTGGAGGGAATGTCTATGTCCAACAATGCTAGGGCCTGACAAAAATTTGGGAGAAATATTGTGTCTCTCTATATAATAATACACACACCCACAAGTGTGAAACATGTTAAGTATAATATTAATCTCATTGGTACGCTCTATTTTTGTATCTTACAAGGAGTAAATTTAGATATTCTTGACCCATGGATGGGGGCACAGTTCTGTTAAAAGAGAAGCCTTGGGCCATTTGGATCAGAGCTGATGAGATCAGATTTGGCTCAAAAGCCCTCCTCTCTGCCTCCTATAATAACAAAACCTGTTACCATTTTTTTTAGCACTTATTACTGTCAGGCACTGGGCCAAGTGCATTACATGCACTATCTTTGTAACCCTTCAAACTACAGGCAAGTGTTATCACCTTCACTTCACAGAAGAAACTGAGGTTTAGAGTAGTTAAGTAACGTGCCTCAAGTCACTCCCCTATAAGCAGGGGAGCCAAGAGTCAAACTCAGCTTTGACTGTGGCAAAAACCTTGACTCTTACCAGGAAGCCATTGGTTCTTTGATTTCAGCACGCATCAAACTCACCTGGCATAATATTTATTAAAATGTAGATTCCAGGCCCCAGTTTTCGACATTCTGATTCAGTCAGAGGTGGAACCCAGGAAGATGCACCTTTAACAAGTACTGCAGGGGAGTCTGAGACAGAGGGTCCCAGAACTGGCTTGGAGAAACACTGTTCCAAATGTCCCTGCCCCATGGCCAGATGTGAATTCACTTTCCCCTCCTCATGCAGCTTCCTTAATTAGTCCATCTCTTATGCCCTCCAGCCTCTCTCTCAGAATTCACGCCCTTTAGTTAACTCACTTACTTGTGTACCTCCACACAGATAATGCCTGTATGCCCCTTTCCTTTCCCTTGGAAAGCAAAGGCAAGAAACTTCCCCCACTTCTCAACTTGTACCATGTGCCTGCCCTTTGGTTTTTCAGTGAAAGAGTCTTTTAATTTGTCCTTAACTTCCATGACAGCTTCTTACTCCTGCAAACAATTATCTCCACCCCATGGTGAGTTTTCCTCCAGACTTTCTAGTGAGAAAATTGGTATTTGTTGATGGGCTGCTTCATAAAAGGGGTGGCAGGGCTGGTGTGTACACACCCATTCACCAGGCAGAAAGCAAACGGACGAACACAGCCTTGCTTTGTTATACTCCTCTTCCAGGGGAGAGAGCCCGATCTTCACACACAGGGTGAAGGGTGTGTGTGTGTGTGTGTGTGTGTGTGTGTGTGTGTGTGTGGGCATGCGTGCGCACATGAGCACATGTGCAACAAGGTGGTGCCTGCTGATGGCCACACTTCTTTTGCTTCCTGGCCAGAGATCTATGAATGGAGATCATTCATAGATCAAGGATCTTAAAGATGTCTCCAAAGGGAGAAAAATGATCTTTCTCTCCTTCTTAGTCCACCCAGGCTATTTCACAGAATGCAGGCCAGTGCTCTGGCCGCTCACCCACATACATACACACCCAGGAGCCCTGGGTGTCCGGTTTGGTTCTCACCTCCGTGTAGGCCTGGGTCACCTGCTCATACAAGGACTGATGATGGTGGATTGCCAGCTCCAGGTCCTGCATCTCGGATGGCAGGCCACCCTCACTGCACATCTTGCACCAGGCGTCCACTCCCGACAGGAACTGGAAGGAGACAGCAGCTGGGTTGGTACGGGAGCACTGGGGGTGGGCAATGGGCAGATCTTTGTAGAGGTGGTCAGATGCCTTTGGAAGAAACATCTGGCACCTCTGGGAGCCTCAGAGACCACTGCAGAGAATGGAGTTTTCTAATTCTACAAACACCAACCCGACAAAAGAAGTACCTGTACCTGTTCAGAAAGCGCAGTTTCCACCTGTACAGAAGACCCAGTACCTGTTCAGGAAGTGCAGTTTCCACAAGCAAAGATGATTGTTATGAAACCACTGACGGGGGGAGCCGTCTACGTGTTCAACAGGCTATATGCACACATTGGCTACAAAATACAGGTGTGGGAAGAGCTCACTACATTACAATACACCTTAGAGCTTCTTGTCCTAGGCACACTCACAGGCGCATGTGAGAGGCTGCATATAATGGCACAGATTTCCACACACGTGTAACGAGTTGTGCAGAGGCACAAAAAACACCTCACACAAGACCATCGGGCACTCCAGGGAACTTGCAAAGGCCATTCCCACAGGGGGTGAAGATTAATGCTCAACAAGATCTCCACTGTTGGGTCAGTATCCTCAGAGATAGGAGAGAGGAAGGGCAGCTTAGGGGGACAAATTGCACTGGGCCTATAATGGCACTGGCTCCTGGGATGTGATATATAGATATAGATCTCAACAGACATAAAATTATTTAAAAATTAAAATTAACAACTGTGGAAGACTATGGGTCTCCATGCACAAAAGGTGAGCTAACTGAAATCACTCAGATTTATTGGGTGGAAAAATACACCTCTAAAATGCAAATAATTCTTCACCCAATAGTCTGGAATGGTTCTGTCTGTGATTCCTCTCGCCTGGGTGCACAGCTCCATTTAAATTAATTGCCTAAATACCTTTTTATCTCATTGCCTAGAACAGCCCATATGAGGACAATAAAGAGCTGCCTAAATAAATGCATAATAGCTTTGAAAAAATAGCCTTGAATCTGCTGTTTGGAGCATGTTTGTTTTTTGTTTTTTTCTCCTAGCTAAAAAGAAGCATGGTTTATGAGTTTCCCTGAAGGACTGGTAATACCTGAGGAAATTGCATTAAAAAATAGATACAAATAAAATTGCTTCTGATCCAAAGCAATCCAAGTCAGGAAACATCAACTAGAAGTCACTCTCAGTTCTGGCACTGTACTTTCTGCAGCTGCGTGAGTTCTAGTCTGGGTAGTCTGGGTGTGTGTCAGCCTGCCTGGGTGTGTGTCAGCCGCCGGCCTGTGGCTACTGTGGTTGACTTTTCATTCTGAATGTTTTTATCGCATTAGGCCATCTCTTAACAATTCCAGAAGTGTGTAGGGTGCCATCAAGTATCAGACTGCACACACTTGCTAACATCTCAGAAGCTTCTTTACTCCACCAATAACCATTTCACAGAGGACCCTGAAAGCAACCTGACATTTGTGTGTCAGCCACGGGGGGCGCACCTCTTCAAGGCCCTTGGGATTTCCCTGTAATACTTTAACAAGAGCCCTAGAGCAGACCCCACAAAATGGTCACCTCAAGGAGAGAAAGGCAGAGAGACAGAAAGGGAGGCATGGAGTCTCCCTTGCCAATCTGGACACACCTTGAACAAAATGTGCAAGTGGTAGGGTTGAGGAGAGAACAGGAGATTTGACATGAATATTCTCCTGGTCCTGGGAATGAACTAACGAGTCATTTTCAGTCACTACCACCATCATCCTTTAATAAAAGGCCTAGATCCCTTTCAATGTGTCGGGCTGTCCTTGACTTATGATACAAGTATTTCAGTCTTTGGGAAGGTCTCAGGTGGAAACAGACACAAATGAAGGAAATACAAAGATACCAGGATAGTATGTGAAACAAATACAGTTGTGATGTCTAGCATTTAAAAAGGACATGAGGCACATTACATGTTCCATCTCTAATTCTTATAATAGTGCTGTGAGGTTTATGATTATCCTTGCATTAGAGATGAGGAAACAGGCTCCGATTGGTGAGGTGACTAGCCTAAGAGCTAACTATTAGAACCTACATGTGCCTGGCCTTGAAGCCTACACTCTTGCAATTATCCCATGCTGCCTTCCATGCTAGGTGGGTAACAGAGGGAGATATTTAAGGTATGACCTCATCTAGGACTCCCCACAATCTGCAAGCTACCCAAATGTCATACAAAGAAAGGAATTTAGAGGTTAAAACCACAAGCTTTAATGTTAGACACATCTCGGTTGAAATCCCAGCTGTTCACAGATTGTGTGATTTTCTCAGTGGTATGTTGGTAAATGTTTAATAAACAGCATGTGTGTGTGTGTGTGTGTGTACACACACAAGTATTGTAAACTTTACTGATATAAAGAATGTGTAGCACATAATTTACAAAGAATGACAACATATATATATAATGTTCCTTACTGTAAATTCCATATAGCCGACCAATTCTCACAGGATGCTTTTGTTTGCAAACAAGAAACTTATATGAAAGTTAGCTAATATTTTTGCTAATATTAAGGTGAAAGACAAAAGTGAAAAATACCTCAAGACTTATGTCAGAGCATTATTCCTTCATCAGTGATGTGAGTGACTTCTGTGCTAAATGTAGTAATAGTTTTTGAATATCAGAAGAGTATTTCTTCAACCTGGTGTACTACTATTCACAATGTAACAGCTATAGTCAGGACACACCTTTAATCAAGTTTAGTCTGCATCTTTAAATATTTTTCCTTCATTTTCTTAAGACTCCAGGCAATCAACAAAACAATAAATCAAGCCCTGGTTGTAGCATTTGATGATTCCCGTGGTTTAAAACGTCTACCTTGGTCTATTTCAAGCTACCAATGTGACATCACAGAATGTGGAGTTGGGAAGAACTTATCAGGAGCACACAACCGTATAGTATTTTCACCACAAAGACAAATAGATATAATTTAAGGAGCACAGGTAATAATAAAATGTAGTAAAATAACTAGGAGTGATGAGTTTTGAGTACCTATTACCTTTGTTTTTAGTATATTTACTGTAAATGTATATAATTTAGTTTTATTTTTTTATTTTTATTTTTTTTTAAATTTTTTTTTTCAACGTTTATTTATTTTTGGGACAGAGAAAGACAGAGCACGAACGGGCGAGGGGCAGAGAGAGAGGGAGACACAGAATCGGAAACAGGCTCCAGGCTCTGAGCCATCAGCCCAGAGCCCGACGCAGGGCTCGAACTCACGGAACGCGAGATCGTGACCTGGCTGAAGTCGGACGCTTAACCGACTGCGCCACCCAGGCGCCCCTATAATTTAGTTTTAAATAATGGTTATGTTTAATAACCAGCTCATGAATTTGCTGAAAATTTGACCTTTGGCTCTTCATAGGCTGCTTAGAGCCAGCTCCAACACACCACTGGGTCTTAGGCAGGTCACTCAGTCTCTCCGAGCTGCAGTGTTCCTCTCTGTAAAATGGCTTGGTAATGTCACTGACCAAAGCCAGTAAATAAGTAGCAACAAAGAATTATTATATCTAGTCATTGTGTAATTACCACATTATTATTATCCATAGCCAGTGCTTCACGTAAGATTAGTATCCCCCTGATTTCAGACTCAGTGATCAGTATTTAGTTTCCCCCATTTCATCTGTGTTCTGAGAATGTAGTCAACACACACACACACACACACCAGTAATAATAAACTACCAAGCTGAATGTAAACAGGCTCTATGTTCCTTGTTTGGATATTAAGCAAAACCATCCAGAGTTACCGATATTTCCTTATATGCGCAGGGGCCATGAAAGCAGTAGAACATGGGTTACTATTGCAATTACTCAGCAGGGCCTTGAGTGTTTCAAAGAGAGAGACAGTACATATACTCCCATCTTTCTGACCAACAGTGGCTACAGCAGCCCCCTTGGCCTCACCTGCTCAGCCTTCTGGTGGAATACCGCAGACATGGCAAGGATGGTGCTGCGTTCATCCAGAGCAGCAGCGAAGCTCTTCCACTCCTGGTCCAGCTGTGTGGAAATCTGCTTGATTTGCTGTGAGGCATAATGGCCGGCCTCAGAGAGGCGGGAAGCCACGGACATGATGCGGTTGATATTGACATAAGCATTCTGGGAAGTAGAGGAGACAGAGTATTTAGTGGGGCAAGCTGGAAAAGCATCCACTGAGCACTTTTGGGGTGGGGTATTTGGGGAAGGGGCCTACTCAAAACAAAAAGTTTGAGAGAGGCTAGTACAGGCCACATGAGTGTATCCATTTTGGGCCCAAGAGAAGTCTGTCTACAACATAAAATTTCAACTGATAGCCGGTACAGTAACCAAGATGTTTCATTCTGGGGACCAACATAGTTTTTGTGCCAACTATTAATGCACATGAATGGAATCACTTTTCAGACAGTCTTAGTCATCCCCACAATCATCTAATGAAGTCATGCCACAGGAACAGCATAGCATGGTGCTTCCAAGAGTGACTCTCTGGAAGTAGAGGCTCAGACTAGGGCAAAAGACACCTCTCTTGCTCAGAAGAGAGTTATATCCAGGGCATTGTTGCCACCTACAACAGGGCAGTGGTGTTCATCAAAAGGAGCAAAGAACACAAGTCTTGTGATAACTACGCTTCTTCCTATCACCAAGCAAAGACTTTGCTAAACCTCTGCCCCTCTCCCTACCAAAAGAGCTGGGACACTAGCCATCAGTCAAGATTTAAATAAAAAGACCATTTGAAGCAACAATATTCTTCCATGCTAAAAATAAGATATGTGGGATTCTTTCTTATCCTTTAGACTTAGGGTTATTTCCCTACTTACACCTCAAAAAGCATCTGTGGGTTATCCCCGAAAAGCATCTGTAGGCCTCTTCTGGACCCGCTGACTTCTTTCATCACGTGTTTTGTTTACAGTCATTCCCATCTTTGATTTCCAATTAAAAATTCACGGCATGTGTGTTATTTCCTACTAGGCCAACAGAAAACCCTCCAGGAACAAGGCAAAAGAAAAACCGCACAAACATAAGCCAGTAGCAAGCATGAATATTTTTAGCTGCTACCTCCTATTAATTGTTTGAGGTGTCAAAACAACCAAGTAATATTGTGGCATCCACAAGGAGCCTTTCTGAATCACACAATGTCTTCCTGAAGAAGGACCATGGCAGCAAGTTGCTTGTGCACCTTCGTTCTTTGTTACAAATCTTCTCAAATGACAATAAATATTCTTCAGCAATGGCACTTTCTCCTGGCTCTATTATTAGTGCAGGAGTAGTTCATTAGTATTGGCTAAAATGAAGGTTTCTGGTTTTCCTTTCCCCCTTCCCTCATGGTCCCTATTCATCTTAGCTGTCCCTGACCTCAAGCACTCCATCCCAAACCTGAGCCAGGTTGATAAGGTCTCTCTTCATTTAAAAGGTCCCTGTGGAAGTTTAAAAGGTTAAGTGAAATGCTCAAACACAAATCCATCCTGATGTCTAATGACCCCCATGTGTAATCTCTTTCTTTAGTCTGGCCTAAGACCTTTCTGATGCAGTGCATTTCCTTAATAGAGCTAGAATATTACTGACTCTTGTTATTTGAAATAACTATCCTTCAAAGATTTAGGAGTCATTCTCAGCCTTGTTTTCTGAGTTAGGACACAGATTCTACCTAAAATTAAACTCTATTTATAGAACTAACAGAAAAACCAACTCTGTACTTGGAAAGAAAAGAGAAAGAGAAAAAAAGGCATGCACTGATTTTAATAGTTCTGTCTTCTAAGGGAATAACATTTGGATTCCCTCAAATTTCCTGCTTGTGTCACGGTCTCAATTTGGGTTGCCCCCAAAGCAGATCTTGCAACAAGTATTTGGGTCGCATGCTTTATTTGGACATGATTCCAAAAAGCAAGGTGAGGGACTGGGGAAGTCAAAGAAACAACGAAAATGAACAAAGCATGTGTTTAGGAGTGGGTTAGTGCTATGAGCAATTGGAGGTCATCCCTCCTGAAGCCTTTTAAGAGACTGCGTTGAATCTGGGCTGTCTCACCGGGAGGTGAGGAATCTGGGGTATTCATGCATTAAAGTGCCATTGCTCATGGTGGAGGGTCCCTCCTGGAGTCACTCCCTGGCAATTCCAGCCTGCCCTACACACAGGTCAAGCACACTTCCCAGGTCAGAAAGTGACCATGGGCAGAGAAACTCAGGAAGTTATCAGGGTATATGGGAGCCCTCTGCATTTATCCTTCAGGGCTGGCTGAAAGGATACAGGAGGGACATTGACAGCATCTGATAGAGCTGTCCTTCCAAACTGGATTCAAATCCTGAAGACCCTCTCTCCCACCCCACACTTATCTGGATTTATCTAGGATTATTGGGTTTTAAAAACCTCATGAGCTTTGGCCAGATGGGAAGCAGGAAAAACAATAAGAGCAGGCACTAGCCTCTTTCCAGCGTCCTTCATGTGCATCTTATGGATGCCTGGCCCTCCGTCATCACTGCCTGTTTACATTCTCTCCCCACAGGGAACATAGGGAGGCATAGTTCTACTCACTTTTAGGAAGAACTTTCTAGCTCTTACAGATGTCTAACCGTGGTTGCCTCTGGAGGCTGTTAACACTTTGTCACTCATTCAAATATTTATGGAGAGTTGGCCAGGCTCTGTGTTGGGGACTGTGGGAGATCAAAGAGAAACGAGACAGGATTCCTGCCCTCAGGGGCTCACAGCTGAGACTTAAGAAAAGTCCTCAAATAAGTGCAATTTAGAGCAAAATGAAGTGTTTCTACGGAGGCGGAGGCAACTCGCTGTGGGGGTGCAGAGGAAAGGGATCAGAACCACTGGGAGAGATGTTGGGAAGGGGCTTCCTACACAGAGGGGGTGGTGAGGCTGGCAGTCCTCCAAGGCCCCCTTCAACCCTGAAGCCTGTGATCATAAATGAAAGCTAAAAACAAACAAACAAACAAAAGACCACAGCTTACATTTCACATTCTAGAGACTAGCACAGTAAATGCCTTTTTTGTTTCCTTATCAGTGGGCAGAGAAATGTCTTACTAAAACTAACAAGTGATTATGCTTCACAAAAGGAGGAGAGGGAGTATTCCTCACAATAGAGGGATAAATATAATGTTGACTCATGAATTTGCGCATTCTTCTTCTCTACAGTCCCCTTTCAAAACAGCAAAACACCGCGGGGCGAGTCACATTGCCCAGGTTCATCACCGTCACCTCCGTTTTCCTTCAGCTAGAACCTGAGACAAATGGGCACCTAGATTCTAAACAGCAGCCAGAAATCAAAGGAAAAGATAAGAATGGTAGAGAAGGTCTCCCATGACTTAAAAGGAAAGAGCAAGGTCAAAGAGCTGGGTTAAGAGTCTGAATAAACAGGGGTGCTTAGTCATTATGCAAAAATGACATGTCATGGCCTTTGGGCCATCTAGCCATGCGGTTCTCCTGTGTCACTGTTTATGCCTCTGTTAAGGAGCATTTGGGGGTCACGCTTGTCCTGGGGATATGGCCAACAAGAAGAGATACTTTCATTCTTTATAGCCTTTCCATTCCCTACCAGGTGTCTCCTCCACTCCCTGCAGTCTGGCACTGCCGTTCTTCTTTGCCAGCCTAAAATGCCCTTCCATCCAAGTCACTGGCCCAGGAGTCAGGAGACATGAGTTCTGGTCCAGCTCTAACACTCACCTAAGAGGTCACTTGTCTCTTCTGTGCCTTAGTTTCTCTATCCTTAAAATGAGGGGGCTGAACTGAATAATCTCAGACATTCTACGTCTGAGTATGCAGTGTCAGTTCCAGATGGAATGTAGAGAGAACTTAAGAGGTCACAGTTTTCTCCTGTCTTATCTTCAGTGCTTAGGGGAATACCGACTAAATCTATTCCCCTCCCCAAACCCTCTTCTCTGCAGGAGGTAAGGCACAACATGAGGAAACAGGAATAACTCAAAGCTTTCAAGTGTCCATGTGCAACAGGAATGTTTTAAATAAGAGATGTGATCTCATTTACGCTTTTAAAAGACTGCTCTGTAAGCTCAAGGGTCAGCAAGGAGAAGCTTGCATGGAGTGAGACAGCAAGAATATTGCTGCCTACCCTGGAGGGGACATAGCCCAGCCTTGGCTGTCCACGTGTCTCAGCCTTTCATCCTAGTTCTGCTCTCTGGCCTGTCACGAGAGGGCCACGGCTGGAGCTGGGCCCCTTGAGTTCTTCAGCCTCCAGGTGACCAACGACCAGATGCTTCCCTCCTCCTCTCCTCTCCTGCCCCTTCCCCTGAGCTGAGCTGCCTAGACTAACCAGCTTCCCTGGCCAGAAGTCAGTAATATGACCAACAATTCTGGCTTAATGAGTATTTTCTTAAACCCTTACCTCAAAACAGCTTTATTAATTTAAATCCCTTATATATATGCAGTGCTATTATTATCATCATATTCAAAGTACTGCATAGCCCAAGATGTAAACAGAATCTGTTCTGTAAAATGCAATGCACCTGCAGCACAGTCTGTTTTATTACCCACCTCATCCTACATGTCCCCCTGACAAGGCCTCTCCCTCCATCACTTTGGTCACAATGGAAAATATAATTAAATTCCAGCATAATCTTGCTAACTCAAAAACCCTCTATACTTACACACTGCCTCCACTTTTGTTGCCTAAACTCTGTTTTCCTGTTTCATTCTTGCAGTCATTAACTGGAGATCATAGGATGGACAGCCCTTCTCCCAAGGCCCTATCTTGCGGTGATTAACTGAAACCAGTGAAGCAAGCAGTCACTCTCCTGAAATAATTACTTGGCAGAACCTTGATGAAAGTTTTCAGCCTTGCCAAAAGGTTCTCACTTTGAACCTGGTTCCCGGTTGCTCTGGCTGGCTACAAAAGCATGCAAAGTTAGCTTGCAAGATAATCACAACTTTCCATTAAAAAATCCAGCTAAATTTTCTCTCTAAATGAAGTTACTTCTGTAGTACACTCTGAAAGAGATACTGGTTCTTCTAGAAATAATCAATTGATAAAAGCTATCATTTTGGTAATGCTAAACTCTGTGTCAGGGGCTAATGGTAGGAGCAGATCACTGGCAAATGTGTGTATTATGTGAATCCCATTGACTTCACTCTTAAAAGTAGGGGTACATTATACACCTTTGTCATAGGT